ATTTCCGACTTGAATTCCGTCTTTAGCTTATCAAATTTCGCGGTAAAAGATGTCACTTCTGTTTTGATTTTCCCTAAAAATGCCATAAGTGCCCTAAAATCACCCTGCGAAACCGTAGGCGTCTGTGGTTAGAACTCATTGCTGGGTTCGGCCTGATTTTCTATTTGACCCTCTATTTTCACTATTTCTACTTCGGTCAATTGTGAATTTAACCTTCTACACACCCCGCACAATACAACACACGCAAACACAAAAACCACTACCAACAAGCTGAAAAAAATGACATTAAAAACAGACCATAAATTCTTATTGAAAAAGCATCCCCGTTCCATTCGCCACAATTAGGGTTCATTATAATTTTGAAATTAGTTTGGGTTCGTATGACAGTAGTCTCAATCAAGCCCTTGCCATTTTGTAACCCTCCTTTAATAATACGGTTATGTGGCTTCTGGACGGTATTGCGATTTTCAATATTAAGAGACATGACACTGTTAACAAACATTTACTAATACAGGTGCGGCAGACCGACTAAGCAGTTTTAAGGAGCAATAAAAGATAAATCTGGACATATAGGGAGAAAATGTTTTTATTTTATAAAATTAGTACAATATACCATTCTACATTAATTTAGTTTTGAAAATATGCCGGAAGGCGGCGCCCTGAGCATCACATACATTGCTGTAGACGATCCCTGAAGTTTCGGAGCCGCTCGTGCACACATATCGCGGCTATGACATATAACTTCGTTCAATTAATCCGCCATTTTTTAAACCCTGCATAGGGTGTGAGGGCGGCTGTGAAACTTTTTCCTTCGGATATCCTAATCAACAAGAAAGTAGTCACAAATGTCAGATCTGGGAACGCGCAGGCCACTCGAGATTACCCCGCAAAGCAGACGAGGCGAAAAACCGAAACATTTCTCTCAAAAACATTCAAATGAAACTCGAGCGCTGTGCTGAAGCAGTAGGCTTTCCTCCTCCATGTACTAGCTGATACACATGGCCCTCCACCCCCTACGCACACACCAACCCCACCCCATACCGATCTATGCCGATGACGCCTGTTGGAACCACAAAAGTCCCCCAGCCATTGTTCTTCAACAATCTCGTCCAATTGGTTTGCCAGAAAATTTCTCAATATTGAAACATAAACGTGTGGAATCCACTGTCACGCCGTCACTTCTTCCCCTTCAAAAAAGTAAGGCCAACCATGCCCAAATTTTGAAATGGCAACACCACACTCACTTTAGGGGAATGTTGACGGTCTTTCATTGAATAATTCGCGGGGGTTATTTCAGGCCCAGTAACGAAAGTTTGCTTATTCACGCACCCACAAAGATATGAAAATGTGCCTCGTCACTACTGAAGAAAGCTGCAGTCGGAGGGATCTGAGCAAGCATTTGCTCACTCAGATTTTGACGGTTGGCTTAGTCTGCTGGGCGTAATTCTTGAGCAATCATTATTTTGAAAGGATGGAACTTCAAATCGAATCGCCGAATTCTTCTCAAACTGCGGTCTGAATCCCCAATACAACAGCATGTCGTGGAGCAGAACGTTGCGGCGATTGGTGAACTGCTGTTCTCACCCGCTGCACATTTTCAGGCGTTGTGATGGATATGCGTCGACCATGTGTATCTATTCTTAGTGTGCTACTAGTTTCCTCCAACTGCCGAACCCAGGACCGAATTGTGTTAGCATTAGGAACGGCATTGTTGCGTGGAATGTTGAACTGTCGCCGAAAATCTCGTTGTGTAGCGATCACAGATCTAATCTTTTCAAAATAAGCGCGAATGGCAAAACCACGATGTGCACCGGTCCACACCATGTTGGCTACTGAAATGGGGTTAACTACTGAACAAAGGCAGACCACGTGCAGCTGCCTACCCCCACCACAGCTTCCTTGGTAATCAATAGAATCTGCTTAATCGGTTCTGCATGATGATGTGTGGTTGACAGTAATGATAAGAAAGACCTTATTTTAAATAACTTTGATATTTTTTGACACGATATAATAATAAATCAATCAGTGGGCCGTCAAAAACTACGTGTTGATGGCACCTTCTTTCCCGCTTCGCTCAGCACATGTCCAATCGCATTTGAGCGGGAGCAAAGCGGATAATTACCCTTTGTTGTTGTTGTCGTCGGCGGACATCACAACACGCCCGGTGGTGAGGCGTCAAGGGTGGAGGGACAGACAGCTGCGGTTACCACAGCTGTACCCCAGCGTGGCCGCCTGACGTTGCCACACTCTCAGGCCGAACCCACGGATGTCATCAACCACTAGGCAGCTACTGTGTTCCCCGGCGATGACGGATTGAAAGTCATTCGCGTTCCTTATCGGCAGTCGCGGACGACAATCGTAAAGTGATAAATTGAACTTAGCCGGGTGTCCACGTGCTACGACGCACCGATACTGGATTAGTGCCGTACACGGCCAGTGAGAACCTCTCCCATTCCGGGACTACGTGTCTTGTCAACCTAATTTCAGAATAATTCAAAGTGAGTGCGCGAGGGGTCAACTTCCCTCCGCAATAAGCTTCGAATGCTAGGTGACAACTCCAAGTCAAAGTAGCAGCTTAACAGACGCATAAGTTAAAAATTAAAGTCTACGTGACCAGTAGTAGCTCAAAAGTGCAATGTTGCATATCGAAGTGACTACTAGAAGTCACGAATAGAAGTATCAGTGAGAGCTGCGTTTCCGAATCACGAAGCCTCGGTAACCCCCTTTTTTCCAGCGAGGATCCTCCCGATACGCGGGGTTGAATTCCGCGGAGCAGGGTAGGGGCGTGCTTTAACCAATTAAGCGGGATCTCCTTTTTCTAACGGCCAGTGTTCGTTGCCGGCAAAAATACGTGGGCCTGACCTACTTAGGACCCGCACTTGAGCCAATGTCCGTTAGGTCGTAAATCCGTCTTTCCGAGTGGGTGCAATTAGCGTTTGGTCCCTTTGACGAGCGGTCGCGGGGGTATGAGAAACCCACTTGACATTTGGCGAGGACCCGGCTGCCGACAAAGCCCTCCTTCGGCACCGCGCGAGGGTGTCCTGCCATAAAATCTCATACCACCCCTCGCCTCAATAGCCGAAAGGGCGCGGGTACCTACGACCCCCTTAAGCAGCTGCGTCGCGGGCATCCGCTTTTTTTCCTTTATTTTCTTTTCATGGAAATTCTTCAGCGCATCGGCTGGTACCGTTACAATATTTATATAATGAATTTATACTATAATTTTTTGAGTATTAGAAAAACAATAAGAGATTATCCAACGAATTTGTGAAGCACACGCAAACGATCTTTAATTATTAAAAAACTCTAAAGCAAATATTCACGTCATAAATGTTCGAAAAATTTGGGTCACATTTTGGAAATTCAAAAGTTTTAGTGTCCAAGAAAGCATAAATTTAATACTAATTGGCAACATTTTTTCGAAAACAAAATTATGTCCTTCATGAGCAAATTCCTCTTTCTAGGCATCTATTCTAGTTTCTTTTACTTTAGTCATGTCCAAACAGGATCTGACGAAAAAGCGAATCCACCTGAATTTCAACTCAACTTCATGTGCTCATCCTGTACAAATATTTACAAATGAACAAAATACTTAGTGAAGTCGCACACCGACTAACAGCGACATGAAATGTCATGTGACCCAGGCGTATAATAATACTGGTCAGTGGCGGCTCGTTAAGTTGTAAGATGCGCTACATCCTGAAAATTGCGCTATTTAAATATATTTAGTTGTTTATAAATCGCACGTGTTTCATCTGCATACTGACGCCTAGCGTTTCGGGGATTAGGTGCTGCCACGCACTCGCGCGTCTGGCAGGCTCGCTGCTGCGATGCACGTTCAAGTGACAGGTCTGCAGTGATATTAAAACATGAAGCTCCCGATTAGATAACAGTACCTCCCTTCCCATTTCAGGTTCTATCAAGTACAGTACTTTCAATCGGACAATACGGTGAGTCATATTGGGGAGTCACAATGACAGCAAACCACAGACGAGCAAACTCAAGGAGCTATGAATATTTCCTAACTCCGTGCTTTGACTGGCACAGCACAGGCAATACTCTAACGGTTTGTAATACATAACGCAGTGATCGCAGCTTGTGAAATTGCGGGGAGCTCTTGACTGGCTAAGTGCTAGACGCTGCAGACGGCAATGGCTCGCTTAGGTTGTGTTCGTTGACGGAGACATACGAAGCCACAAAAACGAATATGGTTGCCAGGAATAAACTATTTGAGCTTAGCTTCTTTTAAATTATGTTCACTATTGTTTTCACAAAATATTAGACATTTTTTATTCACAGGCTTTGTGATGAAATGGTACGTAATCTAAAGCTGTACAGTCTAAGAGAATATGGATTGGACATTTTTATGAAAATATATATACATTAATTATACATTTTTAAAATATATTTTTACTAAACGCTCGTCCCCTAATTTTTGGAAGCAGACCTGGCAAGTCTCAAACCTTCGCAGGAGAGGAATAATAAAGTTTACAGAAATCCTACGGCATCCGTTAATATGAGAAGCAGTCAATGCAGTGATGCTGCTTCAGCGCGTGTCCCTCTACTTGGAACAATGAGGGTAAGCCGATCCTTACTGAACGCACTGATTTTTGTTCGTTCTGCGCAGCATCTGATACGTCACGATCCACGTGACCACAAAATGGGCATTTCGTTTGAAAAGCCACGCCAAACGTTGGCCGGCATGCTACATGGCCAGTCAGAAGTGCTGAAAAACATTTTGAAAGTGACATTAAGTAACAATTTTCAACGGTGAACAACCAACAATAAAACGATGAAGATGTAGTTGAAATAAAAAGAGGCAATATTAACAAAAAATTATTCATATATATTTCAAGGAATTGTACCAAAGTGATATTTTTTATCTGGTTACATTTAAAATTCCAGCTAATATTGTGACAAACTGTAACATCAAGCTCATTGGCTGAAGCCTGATAGGCTGCGCAATAGCTGACCCATGTCTTTTCGTCATGCTTCGTCCTTCAGATTGGCGACGGCTGCGGGGCGTGAGCCAGCACGGAAACCTCTGCGAACAATCGGGCGCTCAGAGCTGTACCCGCCGCCTACGTCTCGTCGCAATTGGGGCACGCGAATATCACATCGTTGGAGCTCTCCAGAGACTAGGCATTGGACTGAAATGTGTAATTCGGAGAACAAATCGCGCCACACGCACGTGACACGGGCAGCAAAGCGCGGCAACGCTGTCTTGACCAAGGGCAGCGAACTGTCTGGCGCGAAGAGCGGCACAACGTACACACGATTCCCAAACGCTTCGTATTTCGGCGACGAGCCACCTACTTGGCCTCGCATCCGTCCATCTTAGTGACGACCACGCGCGGGCCCGGGCCGTGCGCCTTCACCCAGTGCTGGCCGAGGAGCGCCTTGCGCTTAAAGCGGCGGCCGCACGCGTCGCAAGAGTACTTCCCCGCGCTGTGCGAGCGCTGGTGCGCCCTGAGCTCGCTGTTCCTCGCGAAAGTCTTGTCACATTTGGAGCACGCGTACGGCCGCTCGCCCGTGTGGATGCGCGAGTGGATCTTGAGCGTCCAGCTGCGGTTGAAGCGCTTGCCGCACGCGCCGCAACTGAACGGCCGCTCGTCCGTGTGCACCAGCGTGTGGCGCCTCAGGTCGCTGGCCTGGACGAAGCGTTTGTGGCACGTCGTGCAGCGAAACGGCCGCTCGCCCGTGTGCCCGCGGTTGTGCACCTTGAAGTCGATGGGGCGGACGAACTTCTTCGGGCAGTGCGGGCAAGCGATGATCTTGGGCATCTCCTTGAGCGAGGGCCGCTTGCGCCGGGGGTTACTGGCCCTGCCGCGCGGCGGGACCTCTAAACCCGACGCTTCGCCTTCCGCCCGCCTGCCACTGCCGCTCGCTGGCTTCTTCTGTGCACTGGGCTCTGGAAAGGAAACAACGCTCACGTTATCATTTCTTCATGTAAAGTTTGTCGCCCATACTGGCACAGCCTCTGACGGAGCTAAGGCCTCCAAGCGGCGACCCGACCTTGCGGCCATGGGTTGAAGGGTACGTGTGGTTAGCACACAAATAACCCTACGCCGTATTCCGGTCTTCACAACCTGAAAACTGAGCTTTCTCGTCTGCCCCACAGCAAGAGATACTAGGACGTTGCAAGGAAAGCGCGCAGTTACCTGCCACGATAAGGACTCGAACTGGGGATCGCGTCATGGAAAGCGAACACGCTGACCAGTAAGCTTCTTGGCGGAGAAAGCATAACTACCATAACTAAAAAAAGAGGAAAACCTACATTGGAGTCTGTCGTTCAATCAATGAATCGTACGTGGCGAGGTTCAGGCTATCGGACCTGCTCTTCCTCCTGCAACGCAAATTTCGCCATCTGACAGAGAAAGGTTTCATTCGAGTGACGAAAAGTTCATATGGATTTTCCTCTAACACACCTTTTACGCTTGAGGATCTTTAACACGCAGTAAATCTAAGAACATGGGACATGCGGCTTTACGTCCGCTGCGAAGAAAAGGGTACGAATGATTTTTCGCCCTAAAATTCGCGGCTTCGATCGGACTTGTACACGCGAACTTTGTATTGCAGTCCGATACCCTAACAGTTGCACCACCGAAGTCGTTGACACCCTCCTTAGGTATTCGGCTTGAAACAGCATCACCGATCACTGACTGCAACTTTATGAACCCGAATGTGTACTACACAGCCCAGACCTGGGCTACTCCGGCCCCCAATTTTTGTTTCAACGTCCGCAGAAGCACATACTAACACGTGGACACAGAAGTTAAGTGAACTGTCCAGTTATTTAACGGACAAATAAAGATGTATTTCTGTAAAGAGTAAGGCACTCAAAGAAGTGAGCAAATTGTATGAAGTTAGAGAGGGACTGTATCCCTATAAAGTATTTGAGTGACCCTATGTGTATGTGAGCGGATCCGTCTCTCACAGAACACTTCCAGTGTACGAGTCGATACTCGTGAGGCGTCTCGGTCTCTTTGTGTGGAACTGATAATTTATTTTCGGATACGGCTAGAATATTCTTAGAAATGTCCAAAATCGTTGCTGCCGTAAGGGCCGCCGTCACGATGCGCGGGTCTTGATGTTAGTGCTCCGCGTCGCCCCGAAGTGCGTCAACGGCTATGGGCGAAGTGGATGGTCTATCCATCGTCGCCAGCACAAACGTCGCATCACGACCCACGTGGTCAGCAATGGGCCGAAAAGGCCACCCGGCTTCGCGCAGGGCGAACCCGCACAAACTGGCCCAATTGCTCAAAGGACGAACGAAGTAGGCAGCGCCGCGGAGTAGATGGCGCGACGGGGCCATTTCGTCACCGGGTGTAAGTCACGTGCAAGGGTAATCAAGGCTTCTACGACCTACGTCCCTAACGTCGCTTATCGCGTACTTGAATGCTCGTGCAGTTCCCGGTGTTATAATACTTTTTTCCCGACAGTGAATGTCGGCCAACGAATTGACCAAAAAGCGTACAAGTGTACAAGAGTGCAATGCGGGCAACCTTACAATTCCAACGAACCGCGAACTGCCGTTAGATCACTGTGGTCGCTGTACTCAGGTGTCCTGAAGTTGGAGGTGCCTGCAACTCTTACCACGAACGGCAGCAACCGAGAGAGTTCTTGTGACGTCACACTAATACATTATAAAAAAGAACCCCCTGTGATGCAAGGTGCGCTTTCAGCCAAACAATCTCCAGTGTCGTGCAACGCGGAAACAAACAGACCGCCAGTTGCTCGTTTGCCGCCATGATTGGTTGGCTGATTGATTGATTAGCGTTTCCGACCGCGTCAACTGCTAAGGCTTTAGTCCCGGTAGTGAATGTTTTTTTTATCCCGAGCTGGCGGATCAGTCATCATAAGAAATTGTTCATTCCAAAAAGGACATCTTACAACACAGATTATGACGTATTTGCCATTTACAGCACGAATAATTGCTCCATCACGCATTCAGCCAATCGCAGCGAGTGAAATGTGGGGAAGTAGCAGAAAACGGTTACAGCCGACCTTTCCCCCCCGCATAAATGTCAAATACCCGTGACGTCACAGTTGTTTCCTCGTGGCCATAAATATCGAATTTAAAATATTCCATTTTGTTTATCTTCACCATACTCCACCAGCGCAATAGAGAGGATTTTAATCACAGAACTATGAATGTAAATAATATTTCTTAAAAGGTTTGAAGTGCACTTTTTTACTTGCGCATTCTAGTAAAGTAAATAAATTGATTTCATGCGAACATTCTCCTCCTGGAGAAATGACAAAAACAACAGATAGTAAAGAGGTTTTAGCACAAGTTAGCTAACGTTTGCAAAATGAATGTGAATCACCGACAACGCCCTTCACTTCGGTTTGATGTGAGAAAGTGCAAAAAAGCAACAAAATTCCCCGTTTGTTGAGTCCCACGCATCGTCTAACTCACGATTCTGCACTCAAGGCACGTGTCGAACGCATTTCTACGTGAATCGAGTGTCCGTATGTTAAACAAATTGATAAACACGTACGTTTTTGCATTAGTTGTAATTTTTCTGAAATTTAATAATTCAACGAAAATGTGACCGGCGTAATTTTCTAAGCTCCTTTCTATTTTCCTTTTCTCTATCCGATGAATATCACGTGGTGCTGTTTTTATGATTTCTTTACTTTACTACATATATATGTAGCATAAAGGAAGTTATGTAATGCTGCAAAAAATCAATTTCGGCACTTCAACTGAAATACGTTTTGGGGTTCCGATACCGAAAGTGTTGTTTTTTAACGTCCATCTGCGGTCCGTGAACAACACCACGCATAAACTAAAAGTATGATTGTTTCAAAAATGAATATTTCCCGGTCGATCTGGTCGGACTCAAAGCTCTGCGATTTATAGGGGACCCTGCAAACATTTCCAAAATTTTATCAAAAATGTCCCCAATTTGGTTCTTTAAATTGAATGTACAAATGAAACATTTATAAAGATGATACGTGTTATAGGTAATACTGTTAAATATCAGAAAATACGAAAATTTTAAACTCATCTTCCTACAATTATAATATTGAAGAATTTTTTCTTCAACTGAAACTGGTTCTCCACACAACTAGTTTGCTAATTAATATGATGTATATTTTTTTGCGAGAAAATACTCGTAATTTTCAGTTGAAAGGGAAATATTAAAAAATGTTTTTACAATTTTTTTTAAAAAACGTATCCACATTTGTCTTCAAATAGTACTAAATCTCTCTAAAATGGCTCTCTAGAGCGGAGATAGCCAAGTCTTAATACATTGTTAAAGAAACCATCAACTACACTTTTCTGTATAATTTTGTTTTTTCAAACCTTACCAATTTTTTTTAAATCTCTCTGATTAATATTTACATTATAGGCGGTTCGTATACTTTATTGTATCCATGAATACAAGTGCTTCAAAGAATGTTTTTTTGGAAGGTTTCACGAAAATTCCACCATTTTCTGGGAAAATGAGCTCAAATTGCATTTTTTCAGAAATTCTCAAACGCTATTTTCTTACAAATGGCGACAATTTTTTCATTTAATAATATTGGTATGGATAGCACTAATTGCCTTGAATAATATTAACACCTTTCTGAATTATACTTTTGATTTTCTCAAAATAACACAAATTTTTCGGAAATATTACGTCCTGAAAATTTAAATTGCGTAATTGTTTTAGACACATTATTGCAATTGTGGGTTTTTCTTCAAATTATGTTCAATGATATTTCACGATAACAGAAAATTATGTGAAAATGAGTTCAAAATTACACATTTTTAGTAGTCTTAGTAAAATGAAAGACGGATCCCCATGTTTCATCAAAAAAATGCACATTTGAGCAGGTTTTACTCTGTCCTTGTATTTTGAAAGTCGTATTTCTGTTTGACCATTAGGGAACTGAAAAATGAGAAAATGAAGAAAAATGTTATTTTGGTGGAAACAGATGGGAGCTAGGCTGAGGGCGGAAAACCAGAAAGCTACCCACTCACATATTAGAAAACTAACAAGTATGAGAAAGCCTGCACCATTCTTTTGCACCACAGTTGTAAATTGCCTCTACTTCACGCAAATTTATGAAACCTACATGAAAATATGTTCTACCATTACAGAGATAATCCTGGTCAAACAGGCAGAAAGATAAAAATTATAAAACATTAATTAAATTGATTTCTGTTTCATCTAAATAAGCTTATAAAACTGCAGTTATTTTGAAATCACACAAAGAAACTTAACATTTCTTTATTTAGTAAAAAAAAAAAGTGTGAAAGCTGAAGATTAAGAGTGTCATTCCATTTTCGTCTTCATTCTTAGTATATTGCATTTCTCATTTGTCATAGAATAATTCAAAAGTCACATGTATCATCATCTAAATACTCAGGAACTACAGAATTTCCAGTTTCATGTTTAACACTTGCATCCTGACCTTCTGAACACATCTCCCTAAATGTTTGGCTATTTATTAGTTAACTAGTAAATCAACCGGTGATCATTTATTTTTCTTGCTTTCTTAATTAGAAAGGAGGGGATTTATATATTTATTTATACAAAATTTCTTGGAATCTGGTTAGAATTGGACACTATGTAGATTAATATGTTAGTGCATATATGACCGATTTTTCCTGTTGGTGCCTATTCGTGTTGATTATAGGGGTATATTTCATTAAAACAGATTTGTGTCAAACCTTTCGTGTTTTCATAGAATCTCTTTATTTGTTAGTATTTATTGATTGGAAGGAGCTTGTGACAGTTTTTTTTTTGTTGTTTTTTTCTCTGCAGACAAAATTCTTGTCAAAAAGTAGGATATTTCTTGATATATTTTTAAAACAAGACAGAGAAAATGAAACAAGATGTACAATGTACTCTTACTTCTGTAACATGCATATTTACTTCAACTATTTCTCTCGTGAAGTAAGCTAGGTTACAATATGTTTGCACAAAAATGTACCTTTTCATTCCAAGCTTACTTCTCCAGAATTTGATCAACAACAGTTTATAGAGGAAATGAAATTAAATTGCATATTAGAATTTTAGGGTCA